TAATGCGGATCCCGCATATAGACAAAAATTAAATTTAAATTTTTGTCTATATGCGGGATCCGCATTACAAACATTAGTTGACACACATTGGTTCCGCAATACGAGTTTTCAATTACAAGTCTCACTTTGACGTTATATTGCATAAGTATAGCAGCTAGTTCTCAGAATTCACTTTAACTCACACTTTCGTTTCAACCTTCCTCCGCGGAATGACATCTACGTTCAATCATGCGTAACTCACGTAAGCAAAATGCTCGCATGCTCGAAAATGTAACGGGTGCACTTATCCCTTTTGTCCGCCTAATTCGCCATTGCTTCACGCAAACGTGTTCAACGAAGCTAACAGAATACATTGTTACGGACATTTAACATATTTCGTGGTTGTGATTTCGATAAACCCAATTATCTCATGTTGAAAATGCGTCTTTAACAAGTCCTTTTTTTCCAAAACAATTTTGCGATTTCAATAGCTTTTAAAACAAGATAATTAATGTAACATTTTTAGAAGGATAAAAAAGAAACGACAAAATCACATATATTGATATTTAAAAATTAAGTGTAATTTTATTTCTGAGTTTTAGACTTTTCGAAATTCAACGAGACATTTTATCAAACGCTGTGACAGTGATAAGGACAATTTGATAAATATGAAATATGCAGATTAATTTTATACAGATCACGAATGCCCAACTAATTTCTCCGAGGGGCCAGATTTCAAATTTTAGCCATTGCTCGTGGGCTAATTAATATCAAGTTGCTCTCTTTGCGTTACCAGGGACTACCACATGAAGTATAATCTAAATTTCATAATTTGAAATACGATCGCGGGCCGGACGTTGGGCATCCGTGCTACAGATTATATTATATACCTACATTGAAATGTACTACTTTACAAAATTTTCTATATAATCATTAATCTATATCCAGGGAGAAATTATTGGTCTATAAACGTTGATTCGACGTCTATAGACATCGAATTGACGTCGAATCGATATCTATATAAATATCGAATCGACGTCTATAGACCGATCATTTTTGTCTGGGTATCTAATAATGTCATTTATATTTCAAATATAAAATTCTTACTCTTCATTTTTGTATCATTATTTTACATTTATTCTTTTGAAATTAATGTTACTTAATGCTTTCTTCATCCCACTGTTATCTGATAAACGATACGATACTACAAAGCAAAAATTCAATTATTTTTGAGCTATAATTCTTAGTTACAGCATCATAATATAACACTGACAGAATTTGAAGAATTATTTCTCTTCTTTGCAATTTATATCCAGTTTATTCATGCTTACATTCGTTTCAAATCTCTTATCAGATATAAATTAAGATTACTGTTGCGAGCGTTATATGTTCGACTATCTACTATATATTTCTTTTATATGAAATTACTTTGCCGACGGATTCGCGCGATTGCTTGGAGCACGTGAAATTCACATGTGCCACGACAATATGCGTGCTATATATATGTTATTTCAAACACAGAAATACGCTGGCGATAGGAGATGGGCCGAATTTTATCCGAGCAAATGGCGCATCGATAATACATTATTGCAACTCGGTTCTATTTTTCAGTCAAAATTACGGGCGCACCGTTCAAAGGATTCTTCATACAGGCGCGTGACTCCAATACAAATAAATGGATTGGATCCTGGACGCGTACGCCGAACACGTTTGTACATGGCGAGTGCAGTGCCGTGACGCACACCGATCCGCACGATAAGGAGCAAGCCACCTTCATTTGGAGCGCACCGGCGGACGCACAAGGCAGCGTTTACTTCACGTAAGTGCCACGGTTCTCTAACAACGCAAATCCCCATGGGAAATGTCCGTTCATGCATTATATAATGATGGAATGTAGGAAGGACGATGTTGAGAGTTGTTGCAAATTGCGGCCGCTGAGATCCGCGTTGTTCGTATAATTATCAAGCGTTCCTCGTGAGATATAATTTCGATGAGACGCTACAAACAGCATATATTATTATGTTTATGATTCAGATAATTGCTTGAGAATTATATAATGAAATTTCCGATGGTAATTTACACTTTGCATATATTCACATCAACAATTGTGAGCATAGCTCAAGCTTGTATATACGCATTTTATTTAACTGCACAATCCAACTTCTAAAAGTTACATAATTATAATTTATGTATCAATTATGTAATTATAATTATGATTTATGTATCATTATGTAATCAAATAATTATTCTTGATAGAAAAATATCTCGAATTTCCTTTTTTTATTAGGAAGATTTTAAGTTTAAGTAGTAGTAAAAAATTCCCCCTAAAATAAAATTTCATCTGAAAATAATATAAACAATTCTTGATTTTTCAAAACTTAGAAATTATCTAGTTATCTCATAATTACAGATTTTTCAAAAATGAAATAATTTAAGTTTCAAAAAATAAAAAATTATTTAAATTATTTTTACAAAAGATAAATATCAATTGTATATACTTGCATATATAATTCTTTATATATATTTAAATAGTTTTAAAATATCATCACACACAAAAGTCAACACATTCTAAATCAATTAATTTCTTTTTTCATAAAAATAAATCCTCAATGTACTTGTACTATTATGTATAACCTTAATAATATAGTGTTTTTTTATTATTAATAAGGATATTAAAATATTTATTTTAATACGCGTTTTAAAATCCATTTTCTACACGAATAGGTATATACTTCACGATGCGTCCGAACGAAGCAAATTTAATAATAGCAAAACGAGCACACACAATTTGATTTGTAAATTTAGTTATAAAAATTTCTTATATTAAATTTTTTAAAACGATTTTGTAGATGAATGAATAGCACTCATATATTTAATTTTTTGTATGAATATAAAGAATCTTAAAGTATCTTTTTAAAATTCTAGATATTCTATAATCTTATCACCTTTTTATCGTTAATAAAGATATTTAGTCACTTCTTTTCAATACACATATTCACGCAAACGTATATTTCATGCAGTTGAATCAAATTTAATAACCGTAAAATGAAAGATATATACCTAATGCACGCGCAATAATTCGCGGTCGGTTCGCAATGGCGCAGTGGGACTAATTGTATGACGTCGACCACTGGAAATAATTGCTTTTACTATTCGGTCATTCGTTATTTCACGCATATGTGAGATTTATTAATAATCCGGTGAATTTCCCAGCACGGTTTTACATTGGAAAGGACAGCAAGCCGTTGGTCTCTCACCTTGAGCGCTTTGTACGTCAGGAACAAGCGCTATAAAACTGTTTACTATTTTAAATTATCTCGACATTTAATCAAATTATGCAGATGAAATATTTTTGTATAAATTTTGTGTTATTATAAGAATTCTTAAATAATGAAAAATATTTTAATAATTTTGAATTAACTTGTTTCTAATAACAGAAGATAGAAAATTGAAAGAAATAGATAATTTTTGGATCATGAAATAAAATCAAAAGCTTTTCTCGAGCTTTTCCATAAATTTTGAAATACAATTAAGGTAAACGTACCAGTGACCGGACATGTACCTATATTAGGATACGTACACAAAAACTTATTATTATATAAGTAATCTTTAAGTGCTTTTACAATTAAATTTTGATATAATAAAAAAAGCATTTGAGATTAATAAATTTTATGTAAGTGCCCAGACATAGGTACATACATGGTTTCTAACCATCCAGTCATTGGTTGTTTACCTTACAAATAAAAGCTTAAAATTGCTTTATTTTTAGAATATTGCAATAATGTAGAGTACTAGTACTAGAGAGACTCTAAAATTTTACTTCTCTTTTTTTCTTTTTAGGAAAAATGAATGATTTTATCAAAGACTTTCAGAAAAGATCAAACGTATTACAATAGCTTATACTTTATATACACATATATATATATATATATATATATATATATATATATATACTTAAAATATATAAGTGCATATGTATATCAAGTATAAACTATTGTAAACTGTTATAAAATATATGTATATACATATATATATATATATATATATATATAGTATATATATATAATAATAGATAATATGTCACCGTCAAAACCCGTAATTGTTAAAACTCGATTGTACTAGTTAAAACTAGTTTTAAATTTAGTTGAAACGAGATCTATATCTATAATTGTACTGTGTCACATGGATTTTCGATTTTCCATGCATAGCGAGATTTAGATTCTTTCTCCCCTCTTTCCCTGTTTACGGGGCGAAATAAAATCTATAATTATACTGTCCATAGATTTTTCATTTTACGTCTAATCAATCATTCTAGTTTTAACTAGTGAATTCAAGTTTTAACGGTAACATATACCTTATATATTATTATCTTTTAAAATATATTCAACAATAATTTAATTTAAAAGCTCCAATTTGCTAAATTAAAAAACTACAATTATGAATTGTAATCGAAAATTAGAGATATATATAATTTACTTATATTTTAATAAATATTTATGTTGAAAAATGAATGAAAAATGTTTATAGTGATTTATTACAATAATATGTGTATCTTGCTGTTTCAGTGGAACTGTATTAAAGGACTATGCAACATTCTGGTCCGATCTTGTGTCGCAGGTGGCATAATAATTCGTCAGCATATACTGTCTGCATCTTTACTCGTCGACGAAGTGCTTTCGCCAAAAGATAGATTCCATTTTTTACAAAAATTTTAAAATTTTATTCGTATGTTGTGTATTTTGACATATCTGTGACACGTTATACAATATATATTTTATAAATCTTGTATTTTTGTACCATCGCGGGAATGCCGAGCGTTTTAATTAATAAAAGATCATCAAAACGGGTATGTTGATCGTTTCGTGCGTTCGTTAATCGCATCTTTATTTTTAGAGAGAGCATATCATTAAGGAACAGTCACCGTGACATTTATCCATCAGATGTTTTTTTTCCTGCAGTTGGTTTATTTATTTATTTGCTTTCCAATAAAATAATGGAGAGGAATCGTAAACGAAAGAGATTCTCGATCTGTTTTCGTAATACGACAGTAGACACGTTTTCGTAATAATCGACCGAATGTGAATTATTATTTCTGCGGCGTCCTAGAAGAACTCGTTTTGCCATTAAGGAAAGTTACTCAAGTCGGTTGGTAAACGTATATGTATACGTAGTTCGATCGATGAAAAAGGAGATGAAAAAGGAGTCTTCATAATTTTTTATATAAAATTTCAAAATAAAAAGATCTTTATTCGTTATTTGTTATTCAAATTATCAAGAGATCCGTTGAAATATACAGATCATTTGAGTAGATCGATTTATGATGAAATTTTAACAGTTAACGCATTTCATTTTTATAATACACAATTTTATGGTATAAACTAAAGAGTATAAACTAAAGAGGGTATAAACTAAAGAGTATAAACTATTTAAAATATTTAAAATATTTAGAGAGCATAAAATTTTCTTATGGAAATGTGTATGCACTTTACCATGACAGAATATAAAGTTTCCTATCTTGAATATCTATATGTTTAAGAAATAATTTTATAATTCTAAAGCTGAAATTACGTGACAAGAATTTTTTTTATTACAAGCGCTACATTTTTAAAGTTTATATTTAATTACGGATAAAAAACATAAAGCTAGATCGCGCGTGTTTGACATTCCGTTTTATTTGTCTGACACACGCGTTGCGCATGCAAATGTAACGTAAATTAAAATTTTTAATAAATGTAATCTACTTCAATTATCTCGTACCAATTTCACAGAAAAAAAATGATCTGCAACGTTTGTTATTGTGTAAAAAATTTGATTTTCGGTGCCAAAGATTCTAAAGATCGCTGCTGCACGTCACGCTGGGGGGAACATGTAAGTGAACTTGGGTGGATTACTACACATCTCGCAGCGTCTTGGCGAAGGTTCCGCTATTTCCTCATCCCGTTAATGGAGCTCAGCACGCTTTTACGTGAGCAGAAGAATCGAGGAGCGTATTACATAAGAGTCGGCTTGCCCTGGAAAAAGTGGGCCACACTGGTATTACAGACCTGACAAGTCAAAGACTCCTTTTTTCTTGCTCTTGCCACTTGGCTCTGCTCGAAGGGATCCAGGAAATTGATCCGGCATCGTCTTTATATTTCTCTTGATAGACATCGGAACGTTGACATGAATGTCCAACCATTATGTGGCCCTTTTTACTTTTTTTTACTTCTTTATTATGATTAATAGTCGCAGAGTGATAAATTATATGCGCTATTGTAATTATTATACAATGTAATAATTCGAATAATTAACTATCGGTCGAATTTATTAAGTCCAGCTTAATGTTTTGAAGGAGATTAGACGCGAGATGCTAGAAATACGTATGTTGCTTTTCGGCGAAAAAAGAGTTAAGTATATCACATAATCAATGAAGTTATTATTAGGATGATATAGATGGATGTTATAAATGGACGGAAGCGACGGCGACACTTTAATCTGTACATATCTAGAGTGAAAAATCGAATGATAATAAATCGGAAGATTAATTACTTTTTTATTTATAACATTAGTCACAGTTAATATAAGAAAAAACAAAACTAATTAACATTAAAATAGCTTAATAAATATAATAAGATAAGCTATATATATATATATATATATATACTATTATTATATATATATATATTTTATATCTATTTTATATATATATATATATATATACATATATAACAGATTGCGTAAATCTATGCAATAATATAAAATTCATGTAATAAAGAAGATTGGTAATAAAAATTTGATAAACATAGTGAGAATTTTGGTTCGCAAGTATTTATCGCATGATACGAGAACGTTTCGAGAAAAGATTGCGCTAGATATATTCGGATGACGTTGTAATAGCATGTACAATTAATATCAAAGGCGACTCAGGCGACGCAGCATTACATTAGTTGGAATATAATTATAGCGCACGTCTATGTCCCATGTGACTAGTCCGATAATTATCACCTGAAATTGATCGACGTGTGCACGATTCCTGATGGACTTACTTAGTTAGAGTGATACCGCTACCTCATCCATTAAATTCCACCTATATGAACTATAAAGAACTTTTGATAATTTACGCACATCTCTATAATTTACGATCGTCCTTTTGCATTAAGTATAATACAATACATCGATATGTCCAAATTGTAAGTTTAATTACGTTTCCCATAAATTATATATAATGTCCAAAATATTGATTATTTTTATATGTATTTGCATCCTGCAACATAAAATATGATTTTGGCAACTACACAATACCGTTTTGGACGTAGACAACTTTCGTCAACAAGAAATAATATTTCGTTTACACGTTATAAATTTTTGATATTATAAGTATAACACTTATATCATGTAATATTGTGTAATATATTTATTTTAATAACATAATATTATATATATTTTTTACTTGCGCTAAATATAATAATATATAGATATTCTTTTTTTTATTAATGCCTTTTATATTAATCATATAATTTTCTTATACTATCTACAATATTAATCTTAATTGGCAGTCGTTTCATGTTTGCAGGATAAGTGTGTACGGCAAAGTTTAGCTGACGTCATAATATAACCATCGATTAAGGAGTGAAATTATGATCGCACGGTTAGATCCAGAGTTTTCACGGAAATACTCATATGCGTCATCCGTACTTATAATACATGAAGTCTTATGGTGCTTGTAACATAGACAAAATACCGAGAAAATACAAGTCAAAGTAAATTATTAATGTAGAGCAAACGCAAAGATCAGTCCAGAAATGTTAGTTTACTTTTTATTGAATCACTCATAATTCTCGGCAGTGGTTATAAAAACAGCTAGAAAGCTTTTAAAAATAGAAATATCAATAATAATTTATTATTTTTATTAATTTTGATTGCAAACAAAAATTTATCAAAACAAGTTCTATAATTATTAATGATTTTCGACTGAAGAAAGAAAGATTTCCATTTTTCGAAAAAAAGTTAATAAATTTAATTGACTTATTTAAAAATTGTTAATAAAGATATACATAAAATATATTGCTAATAAAAAATTAGTTTGTCTATACAGAAAGTAAAAAATTAGTTTGTCTATACAGAAAGTTTCGAAATCTTTGACAAAACGGAATTGACAGAATTTATGACAGAAATTTAAATTTAATTTAAAAGAAAGCTGTTACTTGCGGCATCTTTTAATTGCATATACATGTAATAAACATATTTATTTATTAAACAACTCAATTTAAAATAACTCGAAGTAAAGCTCTGAAAATGTAAATTCTAAATATATTAAGATTTTGTCAGTTGTTTGTGAATCGCGAGCTACATCATCATACCGCTCCGCTTATTTAAGAAAGAGATTGATCAAGAATCCATCATCGAAAAGTTAAGTAAAGATCTATCGGGAGACTTTCCGGCATTATATCGATATTCATATTAACTTAGCGTGGCGAAACCGTCGCGTTGCATCCACCCTCTGATACCGCCGTGATCCCACCAAACCGCGCGATTGTGCGTCCCTTAGAAGCGGGGTGCATGATCGTGTCCCATGCGCTGCGTCATTACCAGCACACGGCACAGCACATCGTCGACGATGACGACGACGACGACGACGACGACGGTGTCATTTGCGTTCCACTCGTCTAAGTAACGGCGACGACGGTGGCGGGTACACCGACGGGTCTTGCCTGAGAAATGACTCAGAGGCATTGCGCTCTGTCGCTGTCCCGACGACGCCGCGACGGCCGCGGCGGGTGGCCGTGAGGGGGTGGACGCCGCGGAGAGCAACACCGCCAGCACGCTATCACCATGCCACATGACGCCGCACCGCGCCGCGTCGCGCCGCGCCGCGCCAACACCGGCGGTCAAGGGGGTGGAAACGTGGCTCGGTCGTATTGCGCAGAACGCCGGCGCCCTGGCGTCGCGACGACCCTCGTCGGGGTGAGTCAGGCCGGTCGTTGCTTGGTGCCCGCGCCTTTCCGCCACGGGTACGCGGCACAATCGCACGGTGTACGTACGACGCGACGCGACGCTACGCTACGGCGCGAGCGCGCGATCGTCGGTCCCACCATCTCGCCTTCGTCCGGACACTGCGCCTCCGTCGTCCGAATCGTCGCGGAATCGCACGCGCCAACCCTTCGCGATCAAGCGCGAGGGAGTCTGGACGCGCCGGCGGCCTTTGAACGACGACGCGACGACGAGCCGCTAGATCGCCAAGGGCGCGGGGGGGATCCACGCGGGCGGAAGCGAGAGAAATAGAGACAAGAGGGAAGAAAGCTACGACACGTCGAGCACCGCGGCGGCGACTATGCGCGTCATCGATCGCGCGCGCCTCCGCGATCGGCCGGAGATGTGATACCGGAAGTAGGCCAGGCAGGGTTGACCTGCGTGGGGCGTGCAGGTACGCGGCGTACGGGTGCGTGCGTGCGTGCCGTGCATAGGCCGCAGGTGTGCTGCCGCGTGGGCCCGCGGGGGGGTCCGAGCAGTCGTAGAGATGAGCGTCGCCGCGACGACCTGCCCGTCGCCGTCGCCGACGTACCCGACGTCGGGGACAAACCCCTGGTGCAGCACCACCGCCGTGCGGCTCTTCTGCGTCGTCCTGGTCTCCTCCTGGATTATCCTTGATCAGCCGGCCCTGGGGCTGCCGGATCCCTCGGAGCGGTCGACCGCGCAAGGTAAGACCTTTAAGTTCGCTTCATCCGCGCTCGTGCGCGTATGATTCTCGCCGCGCGTCACGAGTAATGAGATAACGCGCGTCATGAGATAACGCGTTTTTCGCGTTCTTCTTGGAAATAATACGTGCGACTGATAAATATTTTGATTGGGAAAACCTGGCTAGGAATTCCG